TCTCAGGAATTTCAGGTTCTGGGTGTAGCAGAGGAACTTAACAATACCTAGTCTTTTACATTTTAATTCAGGCTTTGCAGTTTAGAAACTTTACAATGCCCGGTCTTTTACATTTTTATTCAGGCTTTGCAGCTTAGAAACTTTACCCTTTCAATGGTAGGCATAAACAGTTATAACTCACATATGTTGAGAGCCACAGTTTAGTCAGAATGACATCTGGCATTTTTGCCAGAGGGAATGGTTGAAAGGTGACCCTGCTTTGGGGGATTAGGTGGATCCTGCTGGGATTAGGACGGATCCTGCTGCCTCGGGTGCCCGCTACTTTGGAGTTCCTGTTGAGTTCTCGCAGGGTTCTGAGAGAATTGGCACGGAGCCCAGTGGAGGAAGTGTGTTCCCGGGAAGTGTGTGTAGAGTGCCGGTGAGAGTTTGGGAATAAAGGTTGCTGTTTGAACCTACAAGGCTGTGTGGCGGCTGGTTATTTGTGCCCAGCCAAACTGCGGCACACATAAACAAACTGTTTGAGGTCCTTGTATTTGTTACTTATTGCTGTGTAACAAATGACCACAAAATCTTAGTAGTTCAAAACAAAAACATTTATAATCTCAGAATTTCTGTTGGTCTGGAATTCAGGAGCAGCTGAGCTGGGTAATTCTGGGTCCCAGGAGGTTGCAGTCACCTTCTTGACTACAGCTGTTCTTGCCTGAAGGCTTAACTGGGGCTGCAGAAGCTGCTTCCTGGAGCACAGCTCATTAATATGGCCACTGCCTGGAGTCCTCAGTCCCTTGTCTGTGTGTCCTCACAACATGGCTTCTGACTTCTTCCACAGTGAAGGATAAGAGGAGGGAAGGGCAGCGAGAGAAATGGGAGCCACAGTATCTTTTATGCCCTAGTCTCAGAAGTCATACTTGACCATTTTGCCACACTCAACTCATTAGAAGGAGTCACTGTGTACAGCCCACATGCTAGAGGAGGGGAAATCTTATTCTCCAAAGGGTTGAGAGCAGAGAATCATGGACATTTTTAAAAACCACATCAGCCCTCCTTAAGAGCCTTCATACTAGATGATCTTAAGGATATTTTTAATCCTGAGTATCCATGGGGAATGGAAATGAGGACAATGTTTAGGTCAGAATGAAAATTCAAGGGGCCCTCTTCAAAGAGTTTCCTTTATTACCTACCTGGCAAATTTCCACTGAATGCTTTAAAACTAAATTCAGAAATTACTTCCTTCAGAAATTATCTGTGCCTATTTACACATTATTGCACTTTCTTTACTGTTTTGCAATTATTTTCTTATTCTTTTTTCTTATCAGACTTGTGAGCTCTTGGAAGCCAGGAATATTATTGTATTTATCTCTATGTCCAGCATTATGTCATATTTTTTTCATCTTTGGGGGGTCACATTTATTCTAAAGTTGTTCATTTATTCTTTCCCACCAGAGCTTCATTAGTGTGATTCTTTGCATTAGATATTGGGAGAAGATTCCTGCTCTCATGGTATATTTTAATAGGGAAATAAACAAGATAATTTCAGAAAGTGACACATGCTATGAAGAAAATAAATAGTCATTTAGTCTGATATGGTATGGGGTGGTGACTGTTAGGTGGAGTGATCAGAAAACATTCTTCTCCAGAGGTGACA